CCAGTGGTGAATATAGCTGAGCCCTTTTATAGGAGGCATGCTCTGGGCAACAATTCTTGCTTATATATTAGATGTCTCTTATAAACAGGGTACCACGTATGCATGTTCTTATCAAGCCGTACTGGTATTGGCACAGTGGTGTCTCTCATACCCATTTGTCTCTTATATCAGTGTCTCTTATCAAGGGGGTTCCATTGTTGCATCAGGAAGATCGTACCTCCCTTTATTGATATTCTGGTGTATAGGGAGTACTAAAGCTGCAGTGAATCTACAGTACATTTCTTCCAAACGTTTATATATTGTCACGTAAGAGGAGGGTAGCCTCACACTTATGGTGGTATCGCCATGCGTAACATTATCCGCAATACGCTTCGCGACATTATGCTTCGTCAATGGCTAGATTCTAAAGTGTCTGCATGACTGCTGATACCTGGGCAGAAACACCCTCTCGTAGTAGTAGTAATAGACTTTTATTCAGCCACATTTACAGGCCGAGCATTTCGACCGCCTGTGCGACCGGTCGACGCTGTTCCTCTTCCCCTTCGGCGCCGATCCAGTCGAGCCAGGAGGTGATGGAAAGGGCATGGGGAAGGGAGCCTCTCGTAACCTATGAATGCTATATATAGGGGTTTATGTGTGTGTGTTTGTATGCATCTGTGCGTGCATGAGTATATACAGGGCCGATTTTCTAAGATTAGCAATTTAGTGGCATCTCAGCGCCATGCTGCAGTGAAGCTATCTTCACAGGCAAGTTTCTTATAGTAAATACGCTAATAAGTTCGTTGCTATAACTTTGAAATTACTGAAACTAAATTTGCGTCAAGGTAGTGAACTCAGATACTGTAATATGAACGCATGCCAAGACGTACTTTACTTGCCCAAATACTTGAATTTGCCCAAATATCTGCCTCTTCAGCCACAATTTCAACCATTGCAAAACATTCACTATAATTCGAATACACTTTGAACAAGGAAAGTATTCCATGTTTATTAAAAATTTCATCCTTGTTTCATCCACTTTGTCACTGTTTGCATCTTTAGTGCTGAATCACATATACCAATTAGGTGAAAACAACAAAATGACTGAAAATTTTACCTAAGCACACCGAAAAACATGGATTGGAAGTAGACAGTAGGGGTATGAGTAATGTTAGTTTTTCGGTGCGCTTAAGGGCACTGGATGAGCCCTATATGTCCCATGCATTTTTTTTCTTTATTTGAGCTACCGTTTTGTCAGTGACAACAAGAAATATTCATATCTATACATCATTTTCTTCAAATTTTCTACTCTTTTAAATGAAGCCGACATAATATAATCTAGATAATGTAAGCATTTGTGAATTTTTCACTACCAAGATCTAACTTTTGAGTTATTTGGCATAGATGAAAATTTGTAACACAAATACTGTGAAGTGCATAACTTAAATTCTGCTTCGGTACCTGTATGCATTTATGCAGAATATAAGAAAAATGATCAAATGGTTATCTTGGATACATACGAAATAATGGTACTTAAGTAATAAATGACATGGTTTTGAGATGATGGAGTGTAAAGTTGGAAAATGGCTGGAAATCGGCTGAAATCGTCTGAATCATTGCCAAGGCCAACTTTTCACTTTGGAGCCTCTTGTAATGCTTGGCTTGCTTCTCTTGTGAGATGTCGCGCAGCTCTATCTGAAATGTATCATTCGAGTATACTCAACGTTTTCCAGCAAATTGATTGTAATTTGGCCAAGCTTCAATCCTTACTGTTCAAAATTTTGGCTTATGTCATACTGCCATCATTAAGTGCAAGAATAATATCCAATGTCTCAAATCTAAAGACTCGGACCCTAAACAAAGACAGCAAAGATGCAGCAACTAAATTCCCATAAACTCAACACTTATACCAGGCCGTTCTCTATTCGGTCTAATTGCATCACAAATAATAGTCATGTCTATCAGAGCATACCCATTGTCACCATGCACGTGATTCGCCTCAAAGGACACTGAAAAGGTTGAGAGGTTCAACAATGAAGAGCTTGCTGGTTCAGTGTTCAGCGCCTTAGTACATCACTGACATTTATTCACTTTAGCAAGAGAACAATACAGATTGCCGCAAAATTTACACTTACTGAAGACCTTCTTTACCCCCCGCATCTAAGCTTATCGACAAGCATGGCAAACAAAAGGCGTAATGAAGCTAGGAGCTGAAAGTGTTCGAGCCAATGTGTTCCGAAGATTAAGTGTGAATATAAAGGCACACAGCATCTTCGGACTGCTTTAGAAATTACCTGACAATTTTTCTATACACAACTGACTCGGGACAAGCAATTCGATTTTCGTAGAAAGTCTTTTTTAGAAAAAAAGGCTGTAAGCATAAAGCGCATATGAGGAGCTTGCGCTAGGGTGCATTTTCACTCACTGCTTCCTTTCGAAAAAACTGGTTTGAGCCATAAAAAAAAATGGCACCATATCCACGGAGTGAATGATGGAGAGTGGGGCGAAGCATCTGTCCATCCATTCGTTCTTGCTTCCATCCGTTCATGCGTGCGTCTGTGTGGCCGCCAGTGAGTCCGTCCGCCCATCCGTGTGTGTGTCCGCACGTCCATCTGTGCGTCCGTCCCTGCGTTCGTCCATGCATCCGCTCCTGCGTCTGTCCATGTGTCCATCTGTCCGTGCAGCCATCCGTGCGCCCGTCCATGCATCTGTCTGTGTGTCCGTTTGTCCACCTATTCAAAACTCCAAGTACCACCATCTCGCATCTTTTCATCATATATTCCTCATATAGAAGCACCGCCATCCAGCGGACATTCCAAGGACTGAACGAGAGGAGGCACACGCACACTTTTTTACGGCTTGCGCTTCATGTCTGCTTCCCACCTTTAACCACCTCGAGTTCATGGTATATACTAGTTCACTGTATTCATGGCACTGCGGCCCAACTCTCGCTAAATCTTTCTAAAAAAATTCCGCCATATCCACGAAGTGAATGATGATGAGTGGGCGAAGCTCCGGAGGTAAACCTGGTAAACCATGAATCCTCTGTACATTTTGCCCACTCGATTTTATTACATCGCTCCCCCTAGCGTACGTCGCCACACTAAATCGAACGATTGCCTTCAACCAATGACACGCGCCATATGTGACATCATTCCTATTTTATAAGATCTCGCGTCTTTCATCAACTACAAGTACCGCTTTCTAGTTTATAACATCTTGCATCTTTTCATCATCAGCTACAAGTACCACCATCTAGTAAACACTACAAGAACTAAACGAGAGGTGGCTACATACAGGAGACGGTACCGCCATCTAGTGAACACTGCAAGAACTAAACTAGAGGTGGCTACATACAGGGGACAATACCGCCATCTAGTGAACACTGCAAGAACTAAACTAGAGGTGGCTACATACAGGCTACAGGGGACGCACAGCCCACGCCCTAAGGAGCTTCGCCCCTAAAACAAGCAGGTTACGCCCAGCGAGTATAACGTAGCAACCCTTTCTTGTCAGATAGTGATCAATGTACATGCCAATGGCTGCTAAGGGGGAATGAGAGACAGGAGAATTCGGCTTTTAGTTAATGCGCACGCTGCGAATTTTTTATTGTTCAACAACGCAGAGAAGAAATCTCCCACCGGCACAACCTTGGAGGTCAAAATGTAAGACTGGTTACACGCTACGACTACTACTACGACTACGAGGGACGATCGGGTGCCACTATAAGAAGCTTCGCCCCTAAAAATGCTGTTTAAAAAAAGCCCGAATGCGTAAAATATGCACAAAGCAACACTCTTCCCAAATTGCAAAGAAAAGAGAAGGTTTTTTTTTTCATCAAATTTTCCCTACCCTGTGCCCTTTACCAAAATTTTCAAACATACATTGGTTGTAACGGCTGTCCGAATCTGTGGCAGAAAATGGTGTGCAAGAAAAAGGAGGAAGATGAGTATTGTTAGTAAACCCAATGCAAGCCGACACGGGAACATGCTCTGCATTCTTGATGGATTATAAAAAATTTTTTACCCCCTAGCATAAGACGAGTGCTCAATCTAAACCAACTGTCCGTGGTAATATTTTTTGGTGTGTTGTCCTCATGAGAACAAATTAATGGTGTAAAATCTTTTGGAATTTTATGACCATACTGGCAAAGTGTTTCAAGCCCCTAAACTTGTACAAATTCTATTGCTGTAAGCAAACAGACACCTCCAGTAAAACCAGATCCTCACAATAGTGCCAGCAATAGTCATTTAATTAATTAAGAGGCTTGCAATCTGTTACTATCAACACCTCTAGTAACATCACCTTGGTCACTTGCTTACGGTGATCTCCTGTAAACAGGGCACCACAAAGTTAAATCCAAAAATTTACGATAGGAGAGGCTGAATAGAATAACATAAGTGTCAACGCGATAATTCTGAGGAGCTCATTTCACAGCAATTCTAGGCTCGACGTCATTGATTGTAAGTGAAAAATCATCATCTTCATGTGACTGAAAAATTAAGCATTTTTGCGTGACCGAAAAGTCAAGAAAGATGGAAATAAAATTCTGGGTCTAAATGGAAATCAAACCCGGGTTATTTGCGTGGCTAGCGGGTGTTCTACCACATGGCCACGCCTCTGCTTTTGAATACAGTGAAAATAACTTCCTCTGCTTGGAAATACAGTGGAAGTAACTTTCATGCTTTATAAACATATGCATACTGAATACATGCTTCAAAATACAACATGAGATATTGCAGTAATACGCGTGGTACAAGCGCAGATGACCATCGCGCATCAGAACATGGTATTATCATAATGACTTCATAGTTTAAAGCCAGTCACCCACTACAAAAGGCACACATACTACTGCACCCTCAAGGCCACGTAGTGAGTGCATAGCAAGTTTGAAAAGATTTCGTACTAGAAGTGTTTGAAGTACGCACTTGGAACAGATATCACTATCATGTTAAACTTTTATTGGCGAAGCTTAAGGGTCACCCAATTTTGTTAACCTCAGTAACGAACACCCAACTTACTTTCAGTGTTGAGAGCCAGAAGAGAATTGCTTCACGAAATTCTTTTTCGGTTTCCCCTAGCTTGACCGGCCAGACATTTCTGCACAGTTGTGTACAGAAAAAAGAAAAGACATTTTTATTCAGACCTTAGCATAAACACACACTGTTGGAAACAAAAGTCTAGGCTTGGCTTAGATTCAACAATGTTGTACAAGGAGTCATGTGAATAGGGCTGAAAGCTTCTACAAGCTATACCTATTAATTACGTGAACCTTAATTATTCATTTAAAGCCAATACCACGTCATGTCATGAGCTGGCAGACAAAAAAAATGATATTAGCTATTTCACTTGAATTGCCACATAGGTATGTACAGATAACTATTTTCCCACTTTGGTGTTTCTGGTAAACCACACCACAAACGTCTCAGAAGAATTTAAAAGTACTCTACGAGAAAGCTCAAATATTGAAGTCGACACAGTAGAGCCTCGTTGGCACATTGCCGCTTAATAAAGATTTCCCGGCTCTAACACTGATGATCACAAAAACTAAATTAAGCCAATTCGGATTGTACGTTTTCCTGGATCGTACGTTTGTTTCCCGTGTATTTTTTTTAAGTATCAGCGAGGTTCTATTGTATATACCAAGCTTTGTTATCCTTAATTTGTCTGCTGTACTAATGCCTGAAATAGATATTTTGCACTAGTTAACATGCTTGCAATTTTTTTCCCCCGAAGTCCTGAGAATGTAAAGGGAAATAAAACACGGTTGAAACTCAATGTAACAAAACTACGACTGGGCTCGAATTATTTTGTTAAATCAGAAAGTTTGTAAAATTGACAACAGAATTGTTTGATTTTTCAATATTTCAAATTTTAATTTACTGATACCCAGAAGCTACTACAGCATTGTAGCCGCCAACCCACACCTGCACCACTAGAGCAGTGTGAGTGCGTCTAAGAACATGGTGCCCCTTATGTCCGGTCTACGCAGGCCTGATAGATGATCACGTGAAGGTATGATAGACTACGGATATGCAAAGACGCAAAGAACAAATGCAGGGAGTCTGTGTACAGACCGAGTAAGAAAGAAGCGAAGAGTTAATCAGTGCTATATTTGACATAAACCATGAAATAACGGGGTGGGAAAAAAACACTCTCCTAGCAACATCCAGAATGTAAGAGTGCTACGGACTTCAGGGTCTGCTTTGTTGCTGCGTGAATCATCACTAAATTAAAGGGACACATAAAGACAACTATTAAATTGATGTGGATTGCTGAAATAGCCATCCAGAAACCTCGTAGTGCTACTTTTGTGACAAAGAACTGCTTATTTTGAAGTGAAACGATGTTTTAGTGGTCTGCAACGCCTTCGCACACTTGAAATTACCCGCCTCAAAATGGAAACTTTCATACCACTGTTGCCATGTGCAACACTGCCCGACTTTACTGCGCGGCCGCCGACGCTAGCAGTAGCCGAGCGAAAGTAGCGGGAGCCACAGCAGCAACAACAGCCATTGAACAATTTCCTGCCATGGCCTCCGAGATGGCAGGCATGCTTGGTTCAACTGGGCCCCGCTAGATGGCACGACCTGTCCACTTTAACCAGGCGAAAATTGAACTTTGGAACTACTCGCGCCATTCCCCATAGTAACGTCCGGCGCTTCTTTTTTCTATGAACCAGACAAGAACAAATAAGCAGCATTTTATTGCATCGCTTAATGCACGGAAGCTTCATTGTTTAGTACAGTTGGTTACATTATTAGTGATTAACTGTAGATGGTAACTCTGACATCATCAGGACCGCTTTGCAAATGTCCTACTCATGCCGCATGTGTTCTCGTGCATTTTTAACTTAATTTCTCTATAAGTAGGGCACTGCTGTTGATAGTATTGTTGTTTTGAACGTCCTCATACATTGTGCTTTCTCTCGGACATAAAGTGTTATTTGCCTTTAGGGTCCCTTTAAAGCTATGACCGTGACTAGGGTGCCTCGATGTTTTCACACGATAGGTTTAGAAGTAATGTTTCATGAAAATTTCTTTAAATCCCGTTAGGTGGCTTAGTTCATTAATTCAGGAAGATAAAAACACTGAGCCCTGTGGGCATTAGCTGGATATTAGAAATTTTATTTGTTAGACCGGAAATTTTTTAAAATCTGGTTTCATTACATCAAGCTTGAACTGTACTGGTAACCCCCATTTCACTTGCTTTTTGATTGGAATAAATATTGTAACCAAGATGCAAACAGTTGCTTCGTGCTTCGTGAGGTGCACTTAAATTTTGAAAATATGAAAATGGGGGGAAAGGGGTTTTTGTGGTAAAGAATTATACATTTTTCTAAGCAAACAAAATCACTCTTCCCCAAGCTAACTAGCAAATTCTTTGGGGTCTAAAGCTGGCAGCTGGAATAAAATTTGTCAAAATAGAGCATGGTTACCAAAATTTTGTGTCCATTCTGATGTGGGCAAACCCACCTAGCTTTTGTGATAGGAGGCAAATAATGTCTGATTGTGCAAACCAAACAAGCAGCTGCACAAGATAACTATTACACTATATGCTCATCTTACAATTTCAACTAAAGTCATGCATCTCATAATACAAAGGAAGAACTGATGCCAAATGTGTGAGGAACAAAGTTCTGTGTTCAGTCACTTACAACATTTGTACCCCGCACATATAATATGTGAAGCTGTAAGGCGAGAAAATGCAACTAATTGCATTTTAAATATGTTTTTAATGTAGGCTTGCAACAGCAGGTTTATTGAATATGTGGAGAAAGAAACCTCAATACACCTAAGGAAAACATGCATTGCAGAGAAAAACATTCTAATTACTAAATGAACATTTTTCTTATCAATCACTATTATTTATATTATTACTTAGTCTTTACATTTCAGTGCATGAGCATAATTTGAAGCAGATATTATAACTTTGGTCATATGGTCACTTGCTGAAGTTAACTTGAAAACTACAAGAAAAAGAGAATAAATTGACAGAAAGGCTTGGAGGTCAACCAGAATTGTAGCATCCAGTTTGCTACCCTGCACTAAGGAGACGGGATGGGAGAGTAAAGAAAAACATTTTACTTCAACTTTTTCTGTGCTTCCTTCTTGTCATAGGCATTGAAGAGACTGTAAAGTACGTCCCGGACAGTGGCAGAAGTATTCTTGCCCAAGAAGTCATCCCTGGTTAAAAAAGAATAAATAATAAAAATAACAATGTGTAGTTCACATTGCTGCGCAATTCAGTTTTCTTGAAAAGTGAAGCAGCCAGCAATTACATTAAGAGTGCCCTCATGTCATTTGCACATATAAAGTGCAGCAACACTTCAGGCAATGCAGCTTAGCAGTAATTTAATTTCAGGATCAGTGTCAAGTAATTATGAACTTATACTGTCATTTCATCTATGTCAAGAATACTACATTATACAAGAAACAAGCCAAAAAAGACAAGAAAGGAATCATGCAATGAAAGATGCCATTTGCAGATGCCAGTTTTAGTTTCTTCCCTTTTGTGCACAGCTTCAGATTTTTTGTAACAATACTGATTGTAGGCCTAGTTGGTACTTGCTTAATGACACGATTTGGCTACAAATAACACACACACACAAAGTAAAGAAAGACTCAACAACAAGCACAAGCGGCACTTCCAACTAAAACCTTTTTAGCTGACAGCCTGTAATCTGATGTTGCAAGACACATATAGATCTTTATTCAGAGAAGTTGAAAACTCATAAATCAAGCTCGAACCACATTGAATCGAGAAATGCTCTGCTTTGTCATCTGTGTTAAGGCAGAACCCTTTAATGGCTTATACTCGCCGTGTGTGATTGTCCGAGGCCTGGAACAGTACCAGCTGTGGCCTCCCCCTCACATTCTTTCAGCAATCAGGTGATGGCACAGCAGTGCATGCAGCAATACTCTGTCAGATGTCGCGTTGCAGCAGTCGAGTTAGTCGAATGTCTCACAATCAGCCCACTAATGACTCCATGGCAAGCAGTTCAGAGAAGTACCCCAACAATGTGCGGTCCCCCAATACGAAACACCAGAAGTTGAAAACTCATAAATCAAGCTCGAACCACATTGAATCGAGAAATGCTCTGCTTTGTCATCTGTGTTAAGGCAGAACCCTTTAATGGCTTATATTCGCCATGTGTGATTGTCCGAGGCCTGGAACAGTACCAGCTGTGGCCTCCCCCTCACATTCTTTCAGCAATCAGGTGATGGCACAGCAGTGCATGCAGCAATACTCTGTCAGATGTCGCGTTGCAGCAGTCGAGTTAGTCGAATGTCTCACAAGCAGCCCACTAATGACTCCACGGCAAGCAGTTCAGAGAAGTACCCCAACAATGTGTGGTCCCCCAATACCAAACACCAGAAGAAGGTGGGGGAAGCCAAAAATACATGGCAGAGTCAGTAGAATGGCCACAGGCTTTCACCATAAGCAACTGGAATTTACATGGAATTTACAAAGTGTTCTTCAAAAAATTTTTTTTCAATGTATATTTAAACTACCTACTTCAAAGCACAAGATAGTGCAAAATAGTAGTCTCTTTAAATAAAATAAAACATTAGTAGGAGAAGGCGAAGTCAATCATGCTTCCTGATATAGTGAAATAATATCTGGAGTTTGACATCCAAAAACCACGATATGATTATGAGCGATGCAGTAATGGAGGGTTCTGAAACTTTCGATTATTTTGTGTTTTTTAAAAAGGCCCTGAAACACTTTTTTAATTAACCTTGAAATAGATTGACTGAAAGAGCTTATTTCCTCACAAATTCAATGCCACAAAAAGTTTTAGAATCCGTCCAGTACTAGCGGAGTTACAAAGATTTGTCCCACGCTGAATCACATTTTCTTCTCTCGTCCCAAAAAAAGCACTGGAATTTTAAGCAGGGAGAGAATGGCAGGAGCAAAGAAAATAGGTCACATGCGCCTCGTGACCTTGAGCACTTTTTTTTTACTTCAAATAGAGGGCTTCTTCAATGTGATCGCTCGCGCACTCGTGGACAAGTCTTGGCCTCCTACGGCAATCCCTGCAACGACCGAGCGCACCATGTTTGAATCAGCCAATGGCTGATAGAAGGCCTTCTATGATTGATTTTCGAGCGTGGTCTGTCATTAGTTGATAGAAGAGAAAGCAATTTTTAGGTGACTTTGACAATTTATTGAGAATACCAGGCTGCGTGCTGCGCTAAAATAATATTTGACTCGCGTGTTCTTGGGAGCCTCTACTACCAATTGGCAGTGCTTTCTCAGCATGCTAAAAAAGTGGAGCATAGTGGACTGTGCTCCATATAAGCTACAGTGTTTCTAGCATATGGAAAAATGGTTGCATATTGCAGTTCATGCAACAATATGCAGCTCAGAAATGGCAATCTTAGTTCTAAACACGCAAGATACATGTACACATTTTTCATAACTATATAATCAAATAAAGCTAGTTCCCAATAAAAACACTGCGACAAAGTACATGGTAGTTTTATTACCAAAATAATAAATACACTGAAACATTCAAATAAAGAAAGTCGACAGTTTCCATGATCAATATCATAGCGAGTTTCAGGTTATTAGAAATGAGGGGCTTACTCTTCATATCTCTCACCACGTGACGAAGTTATGTGCAGTAGGTCTAGGTTTTCAAGCAACAGCACAGTCTGTAATAGAATAACTGTTTTTAGTAAATGCTCCTCAAAATGGATTCAATGTCACAACAAATCAACAGAGTTTGTGTATTGCAGTAACTTTGTAACATGCAGCAAATAATAATGAATAATTGCTGGTGTTTTACATCTCATAAACACACTATGATTAAGGGAGACACCGTAATGGAGGGCTTAAGAAATTCAGACCATGGGGGGTTCTATAACAGACACTTGGAAGTAGGCACATCGGCCTCTAGCAAACTGCCTGGCCAAGATTCTACTAAAGCAAAGAAAATTAAGAAGTACATTTCCTGGTTTCATAAGGAGCGAAGCTTAAAACGACTGCATAGAAGAAATTGTGACTAAAAAAATAGCACCACCCACCCACTGACCTACACAACTCAGCTGGCTAGCCACTTAAATGTTCGTGCTCTCCTTGTCTCCTTAGCTTAGTAGACACACCAAATGGCATACTGTAATATCTCGAGAATGTGCCCCTACCCGAGCAGATGCTTCCTACCGCTTTTTAGAAAATTTGAAATATGCGCCGATGACCAACCAAGTGCCGCTTCCTCTCCCGCCATTTCCTCAACTTTGTTCTCTACTACAGCATCCTGCAGCAGTGGTTTTAGCCCCGCCGTGGTGGTCTTGTGGTGGAGGTACTCGGCTGCTGAGCCGCAGGTCGTTAGATCGAATCCCGGCTGCGGCGGCTGCATTTTCGATGGAGGCAAAAATGCTGTAGGCCTGTGTGCTCAGATTTGGGTGCATGTTAAAGAACCCCAGAGGATAGAAATTTTCAAAGCTCTCCACTACGGCGTTGAACCCCCCATATCAATCAATCAATCAATCATCATCAGTGGTTTTAGGCAACCCAAGCTCTGAGTGCCTTTAGATAAGTGCTACAATTTCTTAGAACTGTTACAGTATTTTGCCTCGGGGTGGCATTCTAAGTTTTCACAAATTGTTGGGAAGTTTGAAGAACGTCTTCCCTTTTAACATAACCGCTGAAATTTTAAAAGAGGACTCCCTTTGCTTGAGTAAAAACAAATAAATGCATGCATATTCAATAAAGCATTTCATTAGAAGCCCAGGTACGCATTCTTTTTAGAGGCTCTTCAGCCACTATCTTGAATATTGGTCCGCAACCGAGCAAGGGCCCCCTCCTCCAAATTTCACCATAAGGGGAGCGCTTGCTCGAAATTTACAGTAATAGGACGTGAATGCATGACGAACAGGATTCACAGGTATGACATAAACTGTGACACTTGCCTGCCATGTATGTCATGAAATACTTTCCACCAGCTACATGCGACACGTCCTTGTATACCGCGGCCTATGATGTGCAGGTATGTGCGTCATAAGTGATTCTCAGCCTATATTAACCAGGGCCCGGGCAGTATCGTGATACAAGTATATTGCAATAGAATTTCAGAGATACTTTTGAGTATCTGTATTGCTGTATCGAGATACTTTTCAAAAATGTATTTGTATCTCAGTAGTGAAATATTTTTACGATGTATCGCCCATATCGCAATACTATCCAGGACACGGGTATCTCGTTACTTTTTTTCGGAAATGAGCTGAGACGAGTTTACAATGGGAAAAAAATTTCTTTCTGCTGTGACCTTGGCAGTCTGCGGCGAGATATGAACAAACCATTTCTGCTGAGGGCGAAACTAACTCCTACGTTCTTGAAAGCGAGCTAGTCGTTTTGCTACCCGCATCCCATTGCGCATCTTCAGGCAGAACTGTAATGTGTTCTAATGATCGCCTGCTAGAGCTTATCAACAATGTTATAGTGCCATTTTAAATTCTAGCAGTGATGTTTTCATTGTGACGACCATTGTATACTGCAAAATGGGCACCAACCAACAGCGTTGTTTTTAAAACGTCTTCTCCGAGGCCAACTGAACGAGCAGCTCTTTTTTTTCTTTTTTTTTTTTGCGGAGCTCATTTGGAAAACCGGAGCTTATTGCGGAGGCCACAAACTACCCAAAGACTTTGGTTGTATGGTGTCGTGTGATAGCAACGATACCTCTTTCTCCAAAGCATTTCTGGAAGACACCAGCGTGGCCACATGGCGATTGAAAGGAGGTTTTTCTTGCGTTTCCTTTCACATTCTTTTTTTGTTTGTGCTTCTTTCTGCTTTTTCTGTTGCTAGAAACCAATAAACCTTTAATTGAAAGTAAGCACTCACCTTTATTGTTTATGTGTTTCTTTCCCAATTTGCGCTAGGCCATTTTAGCAAAACTGGAAACCATCTAGCTTGAACCACTAGCCTACTAAGTAGAAGGTCGTTGAAGTAAGCGCCGTCATTACAGAGGCAGCAAGGAATTCAGGAGCCTTACTTTCTTTTTTTTTTTTTTTTTTTAGTCAGTGACATGCTGACCGCTATGAATAAAAGCATACTTTTCTCAATTCGTTGGTTTCTGGTTCCGTGCTTCGCTAGAGCTATGCTACTTCTAGCATAGCAAATACTGTTGCCGCCAAGTATTCCGATTTCGGTGTACAATAAATGTGACTCTTGCTCTCATAAAGCACAGTTTTTTATTGAAAACTGATATCTGTAAATATGCCGATATTAGCAATATGTGCAGTGTAAGCCTCGTTTGTAATGACTTTAATGGCACTAAGAGTATGGTGATAAAATAATGAATAAATTTAATTGCAGGTTTCAATGCACTGCACATTTTCAATATTATGCTGCACATAACCAAATGTCTGTATGGAGTATGACTATCCCCGCCATAGAGAAAAGTTTTTCAGTATCTGTGTTGCTGTATCTGTATTTCGGAATACTTTTATCACCTTTTTGCAAAAGTATCTCTGAATTATCCATTGCGTCAATTACAAATGTATCTCATTATCCTGTATTTTAGGCTCCCAAACCGTGTATTTCGATATCTGTATTCTAGATACTTTTCGGGGCATCTGTCCCAGCCCTGATATGAACACGAACTTTAGACATCTTAGCCTGACAGTGCAAGGAAGTCCTATCACAGAAAATGCAATGCTGGTGTCAGTGGTGTTGTCAACAGGTTAAATATCCCAACAGAAACAACACAAAAAGGTCATGGTGGTAGCTGAAATGGAACCCAGGTATTCTGCATGGCTGTCAGGTATTCTACCAAAGAGCCACACAGTAACTCCAAACTTTCGGAAAAAGTCCGTAAGAAAGATATCGGTGTCAGGACAATGCCAATTGGGGTGGCCATGTCAGCTATCTGCTTTTATATCAATGTCATTATCTATGAATCTTCAAGCTACGGTCAACAGTACCACACATATATGTATAATCTATAGATAATATGGACATCATGGCCATGTAGCATATACTTACGAAAATGATACTACCATCTCTGCTCTCAAGTGGGTGCTGATGCTACGTCATACCATGAGCTATCCTTAACAGGCAGTGTACACGGCAGGCATAATAACCACACAATAAATTTCCATTCAGTGAATGAAAAAAACTATTCATGATGCTAAAGCGACAAAGGAAACAACGGTGCAATATGCTACTTATATGAACTGATGGGAGATATTTGTATCGGATAGAATAATTAAAATCTAGTCTCTTGCTTCAAAAAGGCAAATGGATCCGATGAAATACAGACTCCTTTCTTCCAAAGTTACACGGCCTGGATGTCTTGCTACTTCCAAAATTATTTTCAAAAAGCCTTTGAACTAGTTCTGTACTGTACAAAGGTGCACAGCTGTTCATAATCCAAGTGTTTAGAAGTGATGATTGGTTGTGTACCAACAATTACAACAACAGACAAGGGCAATCTTAACATGAGGTTGCTAAAAAAGCTGATATCAGCAGCATTGACCTGCTGACCCAAATGAATATGAAGAATAAATGTCAAGGTCCAGCAGGAATCAAACCCAAGCATTCTGCGTGGCAAGAAGTATCCCACCATAGAGCCACGTCAGGTTTCAGAACTACCTACTTTTCAGATGACCCTAATGTTCGTGAAACGTCAATTGTGATTGCAGTGCTGGCTATACAATTTTATAAACATTAATATGTACTCCTATGATACAGCCATCGCATCGGGTCGATATCAATTATTTAGGCGCCATCGCTGAAGTTGACTTTTGTAGCAGTGTCCATGCTACCATCCTCGCGAGCACCAATACTTCATATCAGCTTACAGCGATTCTGCTGTTATCATCCATGTTGGTGTTGACATCATTAAGACTTGTAAACAACTGGTTATATGAAATATACGCAACTGTTCAACTATGCTCTGCATGCATTTGTAAATATCTTATACCAGACTTCATAAAGTTTTGCTCAACAAAAGGTCACGACACAGTCACCTTCCCATCTTCAGCTATGACGCATAAGAGCGATTCCCAAGGTACATGTACTCTGCCAAATTTTTCAATAAATAGAAGGCAATTTTCCCATAAAAAAAGAACTACTACTTACGAGCACTTGAAAAATGAAGCTTGAAGGTAGTATCGACAAGTGTTCAAGTTTCACTTTGTTCAAACGAAGAGTTACAGGCATTCTTTATTCCCTGATGTAACTTGAGGCATCGAATGGGTTGCCAAATAGATGTAGTAATACGATTATGTCACGGGTGTCGGCAGGGGGGGGGGGTACAAAAGGGGCAGTTGCCCCCTCAAACTTCACCAACCTACATCATGCTTCTTTTTCCCTAGCCGCAATGCCACAGTCCATTTCCACCCCGCCAAGAAAAAATCCTGCTGACCACCATGGATTATTTTAATACATTTATGAACTCACCTGATATATCTTTTGCACTTTATCATAATTACTGAACTGAACTTAAGTTCTTGTTAGACTGAAATGTGCATTGTTTGGTTGTAAACTCGTTTTTATATGTTGTAAAAGGGTGTGTTTAAAATACAATGCAAAGTAGAAATGTAAAGTCCACTTTCCTGTAATAGCCCCCAAAACAAATTCAACAATATTTATAAATAATGACCAGCACTGTCACTTATGCTTCATTAGGCCCCTGTCAAGATTTTCATGAAGG